CAGGACCGGAAAGATTTTAAATAATTGTGTATTGATTTATTGATTCATTTAGCAACTATTCATATCTCATAACATCTTATTTTCTCTTTTGGTTTGTAATTAGGGAAGTCTGAGATGAATTTGCAGCTCTTTTTAGGTAAATGTAGAAAATTGAACAACATGCATTCTTTATTAGTATTTGTTCCTCCAGTTTTGTTTTGTTTTTTTTTAATCCTTATAGGAGGATATGTTTTTCTTTCTTTTAATTAATTTTTAGAGAGAGAGGAAGGAACATAGAGAGTGAGAAACATCAATATGAGAGAGAAACATCTATTGCTTGCCTCCCGTATGTGCCCCAACCGGGGATTGAACTGAAACCCAGGTATATGCCTTCACTGGGAATCAAACCCACAACTCTTTGGTGTACAAAACGATGCTCCACCCAATTGAGCCACCTGGACAGTGCTGTTCCTCTGGTCATGACATACATATTTTATCCTTGTTTTTCTATTCTGTCATTTAAAAATATTTATTTTTGTATGGTTCTTAATTATTTACGTTTATTTGCCTTGATTCAAATCCTGTTGAAAAGCAGCAGAAAACAAGCAAGACAGCCACACCCACTCCATGGCACTGTCAATCAGGGGCAGTTTCTTGGTTTACAGTTTACAATGAGCAATTTCTTAAAGGGATTTAACATTTCATCCTGTTCGGCATGGCTTCCAATACCTAGAAAGCATTTCCTGCTTTCTGTTTTGAAACAAGAATGATAAATTGGATAAGGTTGGTGGAACTGAGCCGCGATGCACGTGCGGTGTGCCGCTGCCATGTTCCTGGAATATAAATGTTGCACTGTGGCTGAGGCTAGCTCATGGGCCCTCGTGAAGGCTGCGGCTGTTGTTTGGCTTATTACTATTTCACTGTGTACACAGATCAGCTCTTCGTATCTGTCCTTTTGCTACTGCCTTTTGATCACCTTGATTTGGATTTCTACTTTTTCGAAACAGTGATTCAAAGATAATATGAAACATTTTCAACGGCATTTGAATCAAGGCAAATAAACGTAATTGATCGAGAACCATACAAAAATGTTATTAAGAAAATATTAACTCATAAAATCTGAGTCCTATAGAATAATGTATAAGATAAAACTACACCTTTAAGAGCTTAGTTATTAGTATAATCTAAGAGGTTTTTTGTTTTTTCTATCCCTTTCATTATTCTTTCAAAACACATACTCGAGATAAGCAGTAAGAGAAGAAATATGTGAGCTTTGAAAGGTTTTACAGTATTTTCAAGACATTCATGGATGGACCTAGAGGACATTATGCTGAGTGAAATAAGCCAGTCAGAGAAAGACAAATACCATATTATCTCACTTCTACGTGGACTCTAAAGGAAAACAACAAACAAACACGGTCGAAACAGTCTCATAGACACAGAGAGGGGACGGGGGGTTGCCAGAGGGGAGGTCGGTGGGAGGCTGGTGAAAGAAAGGATTGAATTCAGAAATACAAATTGGTAGTTGCAAAATAGTCACGGGATGTAAAGTACAGCAGAGGGAATAGAGTCAGTAATATCGTAATAACTATGTGTGTTGCCAAGTGGGTCCTGGAAGTATCAGGGGAACTGTTGGTACGGTATCGAACCACTACGCTGTACACCTGAAACCAATACAAAAAACAGAGGTAAAGACAGTGACAAGTATTGGCTAAGAAAAAAAAGTATTAGATGTTTCTTCTACTGTAGAATAAATATATAGTACAGTACTTAATTAAAAAGAGATACTCATCTGACTATCAGTAAAATACATTCAATGTTAACATCATCCTTTCTAATATTAAGTAAACAATTCTCAGACCTCTAGTATAAAAGTGTAATTATGCCATCTAAAACTAACCCTGATTCTGCCACTACTCTTAGCTAAAACCCTAATACTAGTATTGAACCCAGTTAAAGCCTTTTGCCGTCGGAACATGTACTCTCGTGCTGAAGCTAATTCCTAACCTTTTCTTTATCCTTGCTATCAGCATCCACACAAAACCTGGAAAGCAAATATGTTTTAATTCATATACAAACTCTGAGTGGTGGTGTTTTTCTGGGTCACTGGCGAGAAGGATTCTGAGGCTCAGTAGGAAGGGGTTCTGTGATGGATCCCACTGTCCGTCCTGCTAGGAGATGAGGGAATAGCAGCGAGGGTCCACGCACTGACCTTCCTGTCCTGACCGACTCCTCTATCTGAACTCGGCAAACAGTGGTAGAAAATCATAAGTGGTAAAAGAAAGAGTTCCTTGCTTTGATCTTAACTATGATAAAAATATGGAATTTGAGTTCCTCACTAAGGAGTTTTCTTCCAGAGGGGATGGTAGGAATTCTATACAGAGGAAGAAGATAGATTATTTAAAAATTTTACAACTTGTTACAAATATTCATTCATTCCCTACATATGAAAGACTATACCCCTGGCCAGTTTCGCTCAGTGCTTAGAGCGCCAGCCCATGGACCAATGAGTCATGGGTTTGATTCCGGTCAAGGGCATGTACTTCGGTTGCAGTTTGTCCCCGGCCCTGGTGGGGTCGTGGGGGAGGCACCCAGTGGATGTGGCTCTATCACTTTGATGTTTCTCTCTGTCTCTCTCCCCCTCCCTCCCACTCTATCTGATAATAAGTAGAAAAATATTCTCAGGTGAGGAATAAAAAAAAAAGAAAGAAAGAATATAGACCAAGAGTTGGAATTAAAGTCTCAATGCTCCCTTCCCTTTTTTTAAAAATTAAACTTATTGGGGTGACATTGGTTAATAAAATTATATAGGTTTCGAGCGTACATTTCTATGACACAGGACCAGTCTATTGCATTGTGAGCCCACCACCCAAAGCCAAATCATTAATGCTCCCTTCTTAGTAAGAAAGTGGCTGATTTCCAAGAGACCACAATCGTTCTGCTCTAGAGGGGACACATTTTCTCATTTTATTTCTCTAGAACTTTTATTTAATACATCGAATGTGGTTAATCTCTGCCCATTGTTAATTTGACACAATCAGTGGGTATTTCGTAGTGTATAAGGATCATTCTTACAGTGCAATGCATTTTTCTAAGCACATGCGGCATGATCTTCAAATAACGGTTGGGGAAATTATTTTTAAATCCACTTTATTAAAATGTTTGACCATAGACAAAACTAGAAAAAATAAGATGATGAACTCCCAGATACTCTCAATCAGCTTCAACAATGATCGACCCATGGCTCATCTTGTTTCATCAATTCTATACCCCTCCATGTCTTTTGACTTAAATTTCACACATTGCATTATGCTATGTGAACCTATCTCTATAACTTAGTGACTCTTGATATTTTAAACAGCTTTATTGGGATGTATTCAAATGTCATACATTCACTAATTTAAAATGAACAGTTATCTTTAGTGTATTTATTGAGTTGTTCTAGAATTACCGCAATCTAATTTTAGAACATTTTCACCCCTTTGCAAAGAAACCCACACCCATTAGCAGTCACTCCCCAGTTTAATCCCACCCTCCAGAGGGGCAATCACTAATCGAATATCTTTTCTGGGTAGATTTATCTATTCTGAACATACTAAAAGGGACCATAATATAAAAGGGATCATAATATTTTATCTTCGAGTTGCTTTCCTTAACAATATCTGCATAACATTTTTAAGATACATCCATGTTGTACCATGTACCAGTACTTTGTTTATTTTAACTGTGAACAATGCCCCATTGTATGGATCGATCACATGTTTTTTATCCACTTACCAGTTGGTGGGCATTTGAGTTATTTTCAGTTTTCGGCCACTAGAAATAATGTGCCATGAATATATATGCACACATTTTTGTGTGGACTGATATATTTTTTTTCTTTTGTGTATATAACCAAGAGTAAAACTGATGCATAGTAGGATTATGCTGTTTTAAAAAATGTTAAAAATCTTTTGAGCTCTTCCAAATTGGCTCCACCATTTTATCTGTCCCTTTTGCTTCTTTTCCCCTTGAATTTAAGAAAATATATGGCAAAAAAAAAAAAAAAAAATCACTAAAATGTTTATTGAATTAAATTGACCCTTAGCTATAAGACATATAGTGTTATAGAAAATCAAGTCTGGTTACCGTGGTAAAATGACAGGCCTAAAGCATGTAAAATGAAGATGCATTTGTGGTCATTAGATAAAAGAGACAAATCGGTAAATATATACCCCGCAGTGGTTTTCTTGTCACATCTCTCTTGGCCTTAGAGAAGGAGATTGCTTCAACAGTAGAAAGCAATGTAATAGAGAAATGTTGCACTTTGGTTATTCCATTTGTGCTTTGGTAGTTGAAGATAAACCACCGGAAGAAACAGTGGCAATGATGATAAAACCGTTGCGCCTAGAAGGACGTGGTGTATGACTGCACAAGCCACGGGGCCTTTCTCTCCAGTATACAAGTTAACAAAGGATACTCGGATACGCTACATAGTTTATCTCAGAGTTTTTAAAAGAGTCTATCTAAGGATACTCTTATGTTGCCTGAGGTATAAAGATTTTGAGAGAAACGACAGGCAGATTTTAATGATAAATATACTTTTTCATACTACATGTCCTCTACAAAATTGGAACACATTCTAGACACCATTATGCAGTGGTACAGGATCAGAGAACACTTTTAAAATAAGCATATCTTCTCACTGTTTACATTTTTTATTCTTTCTAAGTACTACTATGGGATATTAAAATGCACTACAATCCCTTTATAGCTATATAAGTGCTGCGGCTTACATTGTCCACGATGGTGCATGTCTCTAGTCGGCATGAAATGTATGCTGCTTATTTCCGGAGAATATGGAGCCAGGGAAATGGTGACTCAACATTTTTATTGTCACAGATAACAGATGCATTTTAATTCAAACTGAGAGAGTTTCAAGAACACAGTTTTCCCTTGTGCTCCAAAGGAAACATGCATTTTCAAACAGAATATTTTCAGTGATGTGGTAACACCTCTATAGGTTGAAATTCCTATGTTGCCTGCTCACTTCAGAAGCATATATTCTATGACTGGAATGATGCAGAGAAGCTTGGCTTGGCCCCTGAGCAAGGATGACACGCCCATTCGCGTTCCATATTGAAAAATAATTCCTAAGTTGCAAAAGAGATGTGTTCAAAGTTTAGGAAAAAGTTTAAAAAGAGCTTGATTGGAAGTTAGGAAGTTTCTTTCCCTCCTTTTGTTACTTAGAAACCAGGGAGTGAACAAAGGTCTAAGCCAGTAAACACTATTCCTTCAGTCCTGCTTTATAGGTGTACACTCAAGTGTGTGCGTACATGTATATTTTTGCTCTGTGTGCGTGTGTATGTGTTGTAGCTCAGGGTACATTGTATAGGACTGGAGAGAATGCGTTGCAGTTGAGATGGTGAAACCTCAGAGGGAGAGGAACAATCTTGGCAGCGTTATTAGTGGTCATTTGCAGAGAACAAGAATGAGCAATGCTCATTTGAACTGAGTTTGCCTTTTGTGGAAATCTTCCCCACCCCCCAGTGGAATTGTGGGTAAACTCAAGACCTAGGTACAGCTTCAGGAGTGGTGTGAAGTGTTGAGTTTTGCTTCAGTGCTGGTATGGGTGAAAACAGAGGGACCTGCTGCATCACCTCTCGGGGCTGGCTGACTTGAGCATGCACATCTCAGTCAATGCCGATTGAAGACATAGTTGGTGTCAGCCATTCATATTTGCAAATTAGAGTGCACTGATGAGCCAGACACCATCCTAGACCTTAAGAGGTGCCTGACCTTAACCTAGCTCTGGAGATTCATGGGTTTGTAGAGTAATTAATTGCAGAAAAGAATGATAAAGGCTAATAAAGCCACAGGCACCATGCACTCTAGGTATACATAGTCAAGTCACATATCCTAGTTTGGGGATTGCTTCTCAATTCTTAGAAAATAAAGCCAGGTTTTATTACATGATTTCATTTTGAAGTTCTGAGTATGCAAAATTATGAATTATTTAATTTTCATAATATGAAAGTACATTGTGAAAAGAACATGGGCATTTATTTTAGACACATGATTTCTAGTATCTCAAAGTTTGTTATTATTTAACTGAATTTGGAAAATTACTTTACCTATATATTTCCTTACCTGAGCAGTAAGATAATATAAACTATGCAAGTAGGATTAGACATTTATAAAGTAGCTAAGACAATGCCTGGTACCACCTAGTAGGCTTTTGGTTATTGCAGGACTTTGCAGATCTTTAATTTATATATTTAAAACAATTTATTTTTCTTTATTGATTTTTTTTCTTTTAGAGAGAGAGGAAGGGAGAGAGAGAGAGATAGAAACATCAATGACAGAGAACATGGATTGTCTGCCTTCTACATGCCCCTCACTGGGGATTTGGCCCACAACCTGGGCATGTGCCCCGACCAGGAATCGAACTGGCGACCTCTTGGTGCATGGGTCAGTGCTCAACCACTGAGCCACACTGGCTGGGATGCAGATATTTTAATGAGCAAGTGTATATTGTGACTTTCAAAGAGGTTTATGTAATTAATAGCAATTCCTAAACTTACTTTAAGAATATAAATTAAAATTTCAAAAGGAGTGAGTGACCTCAGCAAAATGATGGGAAAGTAGTCCTGAACCTTCTCTTCCTCCCACAGACACAACAATTCTGCAATAACTCATGTATAGAATCCCTTTTTGGGAACTCAGAAATGACGTGAAAGGCCCCTGCACCCTAGGGAAATATAAAACCAGAGTCTCCAAAGCCAGAAGAGAGATTTGGGACATCCTCTCACCGGAGATTCTTCCCCAGGAACAGCACCATATGAACAGAAATAAGATGAAGATTTGTGTATTGAAAACAACAAAACACTGATGAAAAAAATAAAGGAAATGAATAGGAAGGCATTCTGTGTTCATGGATTAGAAGATTTTATATTGTTAAAATGTTTATTCTACTCAAAGTGATCTACAGATTCAATGTAATTGCTGGCTTTTCAAAAACTTTTTTACAGGTAAAGAAAAAAAAATTATATAATACATATGGTACCACAAAAGACCACAAAGAGCCAAATCAATCTTAAGAAAGAAGAGCAAAGCTGAAGGCATTGTACTTCCTGGTATCAACATATACTACAAAGCTACAGTAATCAAAACAGTATGGTATTGGTTGAAAGACCGACATAGATCAGTGGAACAGAATAGAAAGCACAGAAATAAATCCATATATACATGATCAACTGATCCTCAACAAGTATGGCCAGAAACACACACTTGATGTAAAATTGGATATCCACATGTGAGAGGATGGACTGGGATCCTTATCTTATGCCATATGCAGGAATTAACACAAAATGAATTAAAGACTTAAATGTAAGACCTGAAATCATAAAACTATTAGAAGAAAACATTGGGAGTAAACATGACATTGGTCTTGGTGATGATTTCATGGCTCTGATACCAAAAGTATAGGTGCAAAAAAAAAAAAAAAAAACCTTTTCCCCAACACAGGAAACAATCAACAGAATGTAAAGAAAACCTTCTAAATGGGAGAAAATATTTGCAAACCATATATTTGACAAGGGGTTCATCTCCAAAATATATAAGAAACTTATATAACTCAACAGCCCCCCCCCTCCCCAAATAAGAAAACAATTAAAATATAGGCTATGGATATAAACAGACATTTCTCCAAAGAAGAAATGCTAATGGAAAACAAATACATTAAAAAAATGTGAACCATCACTAATCATGAAGGAAATTCAAATCAAAACTACAATGAGATATCACCTCACATTTTTCATTATGGTATTATCAAAGGGAAAAAAAAGGCAAGTGTTGGTGGTATAAGAAGTTGGAATACTTGCTACTGTGGTGGGAATGCAAAATTCCACAACTGCTATGGGAAACAGCATGTAGGTTCCTCAAAAAATGAAAAACAGCACTATCGTGGGACTTGGACATCTCACTTTTGTGTATTTACCTAAAATAACTGAAATCAGGATCTGAAATAGATACTATCCTTTCTATGTTTATTCCCACACTAGTCACAATAGCCAAGATGTGGAAACAACCTAAATGAGAGGTGGATAAAGAAAATATGGTATAGACATACAATGGAACACTATTTAGCTCCCCCCAAAAACCAATTCTGTAATGTGCAACAACATGGATGAACCTCGAAGACATTGTGCTAAGTGAAATAAGCCAGTTTCAGAAGTACACATACGGTATGATTCCATTTATATGTGGTATCTGAAACAGTCAAATTCATAGGATGAAAGAGTGGAATGGTGATTGTCAGGGGTGGGGTGAGGGGGACATTGGCAGTTACTGATCATTAGGCATAAAGTTTAAGTCAAGCAAAATGAATAAATGCTAAGGATCCACTGTGCAACATTGTACCTAGAGTGAACAGTAATTTATTACATACTTAAAAATTTGATAAGAGGATAGATCTCATAGTAAGTGTGTTCTTACCAAAAAAAAAAAAAAAAAAGTGGTATTAAAAAGAAGTACCAATTATGCATGTATCAAGTCCATTATAAGTTAAAAAGCTAAATTTCTAGGCATTTTATTTACAATGAACCTGCCAAAATTATTAAAAAGTAAAAGAGAGTATATAAAAATCACCAAGGCTTACCTTCTAAAATGTATTTAATGAAAAAGAGAGAAACCCCATTTAATGAGAACGAATTTTAATCATCTCTTGAAAAGATCTGAAAAAATTTGGAAGGTAATTGTACATTGAAGGATGACACAGAAAACAAAACAAAACAAAAACCCCTCAACTATATAGTAGGAAATAGAACTAAATCTAGTGTTAACCTGTTTCTATAATTGACTTTTGCCAAGTTATTCAACCTAATCTATTACACTAATAAAAAGTTAAGGAACTAAATCTAAGGTCCTTCCCAGTATTTACATGATTATAATACAATAATGATAATCTTTAGGTATTTACAAAAACATAAGTAATCATACTATTACAGTATTTGTCTTTTGTGTTGATAGTGAAAAAAAAAATCAAATAAATGCAAAGTATAAAAACAATTTTACAAACTCAAAATATCAGCCCGCTTGTATTTCCCAAACACAGGGCAACACAGTCTAATAGACTATGATGTCAAAACTCGCTGACCATGCCCTAGTTCCACGTATTTTTCAAAATCTACATAAAGATACAGTTTTCATTGGTAAAGGTTTTGTAATAATTATAAACAAAAACAAGGTGGTATCGTATTGTGTGATAATTTATGTAGCAGTAATTATGCTCTGTGATATTTCACAGCCCGTCTAAGCATTTTAGGTGTGAATATATTTTCTAAATGCTGACTTCTAAAAAACTGGCTGCATAATCTGTGGCCCTTTGCTACCTCTGCATCTATTCTGAATTAATGGACTTCAGAAACGCCTTTAGAAGATAGCACTGATCTTTATTTTTGACATCTTTTAATTGTTACAGCAATGAAAACAAATGAATACTATCAAATATAAAATAACTTCTCCCTGCATGTTTGTTGTTGTTCTGATTAAATTTCTTTCCCACTGGAGGTACTTTATGATAACTGCTAGACAACATCCTTTGCTGATTGCGACCTTCTGTGGAAGGGGAGGCAACCCCATGACCACTGTCTGACATGCTTCATTAGAAAGCGATATTGGTAGTTCAGAAACATGTGTTTTGTTATTGATGTTTCCCCCCCTGGGTATCAGCTTAACCAGTTTCATCAATTGCTTAGCTCTTCTCCCAGCCAACAGTCCCCAAATATAACCTGGTAAACAGTAGCCAATGTATCAGTCTTTCAATTCAGAAACAATATAACTACCATCTGGTCAAATCAACCCCTTCTCACACGGGAGGTCTGTGGGTTCCTCATTCACAAATGTCAATGCCAGCTTGAGTCCCTAATCTTTCTCACCATGGTCCTCTCGCAGCACCTTGTGTAATTAGCTATTTACCTGTTTCTCCTCCTCCTTAGCAACTGTATCAGCTAAGACTTCTGTAACCTCCCAAGTGCCCAGCTAGTGTTTCAGCGAGTGTTCAGCTCCCTAATCCTCCTCAGGCATGGTTGGCTCTAAATCACTCAGGTCCTGGGGTTAGCTGCTTTGTTATTGGTTTTCCCAG